TGGTCTCAGACCTTGTGGACGATGTAATTCCTTTTTAAACCAATAAAGCTAGCCATGATGGCTTTCCCTAAAAAAATAAAGAAATACTGTTTATTCCCATCATTCGCTCCTCTCTCTCTCTCTTTTCATCTTTACACGTTATCACGCACGCCTCTTCCAGAGAGCAATTAGGCCAAGAACTCGACGGCACCACCGTCCCTGACCATCGGCCTGATACACGGCTGTGGCGGCGGCTCCCTCCGGCCCCAAGGACACAAGGACCCTCGGCCTCGACAGCGCTCCAGCGGCGCAGCACCAGCGCGTGATGCAGGCGGCTGAGGCACCCCATGGTTGACGACGCCCTCCTCTGTAGGCGCGTCGAAGCGGCGCCCTCCGGCGCTTCAATCCGCCACATGACTGCCGACGACAGCGGCGGCAAACGGCAAGGCCTCTCTATGGCCAGAGGAGGCCACTCCGGCGATCTGCAATTGCCGCTGACGATGACTGGAGAAGTCTGGAGAAGTTGGCTACTAGAGTTTCGGCCACCACGCGATTCACGGCGAAGACGAGATGTTCCTCGTACAAAAAGGAAAGAAACTAATCAGGGAGATTGATTGATTGATCTTGTCTTCTTGCAATCATCAATTAATAATCTAACAATGAATTGTTTTTCTCCTGTATGTATATGCGCTCACACGAATCTCACGAAGAATTGATCAATCGTGAACTACAAAGAAAGAAGAACCGATGGAAGAACGCAGCGCCAGCCTCCATCAATTCAACAATTGGAAGCCTCGAACACACTCTGCCAAAGGACAGAAAATCAATCAATTGAGCGGATTTATCATACTCCAAGCAGGAACATCAGAACTTGAAATTGGGCACAATTTTCAATTACACAAGGAAGACGCACAGAAAAGGATATGGGCGTTGGCATCCAGGATCACTCGATCGAAAATCCATACCAATAACTGTAAGCATCCATGTGATTTCTTCAATTTGTGATGTTCTTACCTCTTAAATGAGATCGGCCGCGGATCAGCGGACTCGATTCCGGACGGAGGAAGGTCTAAATGATGGGCTGCTGGAAGACGTAGACGTGCAACAGAAGTGATGTGCTGTGACTCGCTTGCATACGGAGCACGTCGTATTAATGTGTCGACACTCTCCGCTTCAAACAAAACCCAACCGCTTTTGGCAGCCTAGGTGTAGTCCGGGTTGGGCTCCTCTACAGTAATGTTATTACTGTACGCATGCTGTTGCTCTCACAATCCACCGTTGGTTTCAATCCAAAGGCTCTCTTTCATCTGCCTTAATTATGTTATTAATCAAAAACAAAAATTGTAACGACGCCGGAAGAACGGCGGTCCTCCGGCTGGGCGCGCCGGCCAGCTTAGTTGTCAGCGTGCATGTGAAACTGAAACGCACGGCGGTGCCGGCGCCACCGCTGCCGGAGGCCAGGAGCTCGCCGGCCTTGTAAATGGCCTGCATGACCGGAGCATAAGTTCCTCAAGGAAACCATCTTGAGTTCTTGTAGCCCTACGATTGTTGTCTGGGGCTACCATGGAGAAGAAAGCTAACTGGTTAACAAGTGGAGGATGAATACATGTCTCGATGCAAGAATTACTTGGTCGATGCATGAATTACTTAGCATTGATCTAACAAATGCTGCAGGTACGATGACGGTACCTTGTTTCGGTAGCGGCGCGCCGCTTTGTTTGCAGGTTCGCAAGCTCTGGACATACGACGGTACCGGCTCCGTGTGTGCCGATTTCATCGAACTGGCCGCCGCAGGGAGCTTATGACCGCCGTCGCGTCTCTAGTCCAGGGTGGTGTTTTTTGCGATTTAATAAAAGAATTAAGTGAAAGAAAAGAGATCCATTAGATTAGAGTGGACGGTTGATATTAGAGCCTACAGCACCTATACAGTAACAACTGAACTGTAAAGGAGCCGAACCCGGTGTAGTCCCTACTCTGCAACCAACACCAATCAAACCCTGGAATCGTAAACACAGGGAAAAGAGTTCTTAAAAAAATTCTGGAGCCCACCGTTGTCATGCATCGTCACAGTCTGCCGAACGAGATTACGTGCAACTGGTTCACTGCTAAGCCAGGCACTAAACAAAGCGGGCGCAGATCTCGACGGAGCTGCCCCCTAGGACGAAGCCTGCCCGCCTGATCGGCGATGCGAGATGCCATCTACTACACGTGGCATGGAAACCTATCGGCGGAATCTTCAGGCGTGCGACTGTTAATTACGGCCTGCAACTGTAACTTTACTTCAGGGTGCATCCCCCTGTTCCGGCGATGAGACCAGCTGGCAGCTTCTCGGTTAAACACGCATCCTTCCCCCCAAAGTTTTCATCGTACTAGGAGTGGATCTCGACCAACACCAAGCAGACAACAACTTTACGCGTGCCAACCTCCCAGTGTCTTGGCTACTGTGCACAAGGTGCGACCTGGCGAGCATGCACCTGCACAGCCCCACAGATTCCCGGATGGAGCACCCGACTGTTGAAAAAGAAGTGGCATCGAACTCTTTTCTGGCTTTCTTTTGGTTTTATTTCTTTTCTCAAAAGGACACGAATCATAGTAGTACTACCAGGTGCGCGCGCATTTGCTATCGCGTGTCGAGCAACTTCAATGGGCGACCTAAACGGACGGCGCATTTGTTCACTTTTTGTCCGTTTGGGTCGGCCGCCAGCCCGTTGTCCGTCCAGTTTTGCATTTGAGTCGGCAATGCGCCCAACGCGCCGATCCATTTCATGTCCGCATTCAATTTTTAAATAAAAAAGGCATGTTGCGCGTGTTTCCTCGTGCCGCCGGACGACGAGCCACCAACCGGGGTGGCGTTGAGGTCGATGGGCGCGGGCGCGGGCGTGGAAGGCGCGACCGGGTTGCAAGCCGATGCGCAGGGTGAGCACTCCCCGGAGAGGCGGGAGGCCTGCGGGTAGACGTGAAAGCCGGGGATCGGGTTGCAAGCCGATGCGCGGGGTGAGTCGGGCATCACCATCCGAGGAAATGCCGACAAGCCGGTGCTGGCCGCGGCGACGGCGGCTTGGACGAGGCCGTGCTGGCCAGGGTTTACCCCAAGCATGTAGAGCGCCTCTCTCGTTGTCGCGGCGACGCGTGCGTTGGTGAACTCCTGCTGCGCGGCGGCGACAGCGGCGGCCTGCGCGGCGGCCTGCGCAGCGGCCTCATCCCTCACGTCCGCGGCATGCCTCCGGCCCTTCCTCTTGGCCGACTCCCTTGCCCGCTGTTCGGGCATCAGCGCCTTTTTCGGCTTGGCCGCCGCGGCGGTCTTGTGCGGGGCACGAGGCTTGCCTTTTCCGGAGGGGGTGACGGCGCCGGACGAGGCAAGGGAGGCGAGGCCGGTGACGGCGTCGATGTCGAGGTCGATGGCGTCCTCCATGACTGGTTGGGGGACGGAGGCGCGCACGGGCGGGAGCGTTTTTGGGGAAATGGGGGGAAATAGTGGTGGCCGCCACCGGCAGGCGGGCCCGGGAAAAAGAGTAGGCGCGCACACATCCATCTCGTTTCCGCGCCGACGCAAATCTGGTTTAAAATTGGGCCTGGAATGGATCGCCGGCGGACGAAAAACGGACGCGCGTCCGTTTAGGTCGACGCGTTGGGCCGATATTTTTGTCCGCGCCGACCCAAATGAACGCGGGCGGACGAAATGGGTCGCCTCATTAAAGTTGCTGCGTGGCTAAACCTATCGCATTTAGCCTGCCCGCCTGATCGGCGATGCGAGATTCCATCTACTACACGTGGCATGGAAACCTATCGGTGGAATCTTCAGGCGTGCGACTGCTTACGGCCTGCAACTGTAACTTTACTTCAGGGTGCATCCCTCTTCCGGCGATGAGACCAGCTGGCAGCTCCTCGGTTAAACAACGGATCCTTCTCCCCAAAGTTTTCAGCGTACGTACAAGGAGTGGATCTCAAGTGCTGTATGTGACAAGGTGGTTCGTTTGATTGAGCAGACAAGAACTTTACGCCTGACAAGCTCCCAGTGTTGTGTTGTCTCGGCGAGCATGCACCTGCACAACCCCAAAGATTCCCGGATGGAGCACCCGACTAATGGAAAAGAAGTGGCATCGAACTCTTTTTCTGACTTTCTTTTCGTTTTATTTCTTTTCTGAAAAGGAAACGAATCATAATAGTACTACCAGGTGCGTGTGCATTTGCTGTCGCTTGTCATTAGCGTGGCTAAACCATGTGCGGTGTCTCCGTGCCTCTCCCTTGTGCTTGTTGGTTGTGGTGCTGGAACCCTAATTATCGACACTAGGACGTTCACCTTACTTTAATCCAAAGCTAGAGTAGATTGACGCCCTCGTTCCCGACAAGTGGCACAGCGGTACATGGAGGCTTCACGCTTGTGTGCGGTAATTATTGACGCCAATGCTTGCACTTATCCACAGCGTTTTTCTGCAGGGAAAAGCGGAGCGATTGCTCGTAGTATTTCCTGTCCTAATCGATCGCCCGCTTTTCTCTAGGTCGACATGGACACTCTACAGAGACGCCTCGAGCCCTCTCCGTTTGTCGGGACCAGCCCGTCCACGTCACGCGTAACTCCGCCTTGTCGTTCTCGTCGCCGTGGCCCACGTTAGCCATAGAGCCAACCACCGCAGTACACCCAAGCATGCTGGAATTTTTAAGTCGAACCATGGTTAGATAGTCCCATACCGCGCACCGGACCATGGTTTCCCGGCACCAATAATGGCCTTCCCGTGCTCCGCTCCCCCATATATATAGCCGCCCTCCCGCGTCGCACCGCTGCACCAAACTCACCCACCTTCTACCACATCTGAAGCTCAAGCGCGAGCTTGCTAGAAGAAGCATCTCTCCCCAGCCAGCCATATAGCAATACCATGGCGGCATCGGTGGCCTGCGCCTTCTTCTTCGACGCCGAGCCGGTGGGCGAGCCCGGCATGCCGGCGCTGGACGCGTGCGCGCTCTGCGCCAAGCCGCTGGCGCGCGACAACGACGTCTTCATGTACAGAGGAGACACGCCCTACTGCAGCGAGGAGTGCCGCCACGAGCAGATGCACCTCGACGCCGTCTGCGCCAGGCAGGCATCCCGGCGGCAGCAGCGGTTCACGGCGGAGGCGGAGTGCCACCGTGGGCAGCGGCAGTCCAGGAAGGTGTCCATCGCGAGCTAGCCGGCCGGCCGCGGAAAGTATTGTTTGGATCCACAAGATCTGAATTCTGAAGAAAACAGCAGCTGTATTATGAATGTCTCTATCCCTCCGGCCGGTGCTCTTGCTGAACCGGAGGAGGCATCAGATGCACCTTGGCGCTGCCTACGGAAGGCCGGGCAGGGCGGCATCAGGCGGCACGAAGCATATGTGCCTGTAGATTTCCCTCACGTTTCCATGGCAAGCTAATTAAGCTGCCCGGATGGGATGAAATTGTACTTGTTCTCGGTCGGTGTGTGCTGTGCAGATGAATTATTTGATTAGAAATGAAAACAAAAAAGTAAACACCATGGATCTGAAGAGAGCAACCAGACATGATTCACAATTTGTTTATCTTCAATTTGAACACTATGGATCTGAAGAGAGCAACCAGACATGATTCACAATTTGTTTATCTTAAATTTGGGTCGCATGTCAGCCCACTCTCTTATCATCTCATTCCCCTAAATGATTGGATCCTGTTTGGTTTTGTCATTTTGCGTGCACACTGTGCTATAGAGCACTGTCACCTTAAACAGTTAATGGCAATCAGTAAGGTCTAACTCCAACCGGCCAACCCAAACAGATACATGATTTGTCGGATTTTCATCCCTTTGGATCCGAATATTGCGACGGTGGCGGAGGCGATGGAGAGCGGTCCACGCACGGGGATGCCGACGAGGGCAACGATGTAGGAGGACAACGACGTGCAAAGGTGTTGGAGAGGATGCCGCGTGACGGTCACAACGGCGGAGAGGCCAAGGAACACCTTGGCGACGGCGGCAAGAGCGGTGTGGCCGGCGGTTGGGACGCGAAAGGAGAAAGAGGATGAATTAAAATTGAAAAACCGCCAAATGGACTATGTGTGTTGTCGAAGTGGCGGGTGCTGCCCGCTGCAATGTTTAGCTGTGGCAAGCGACACTGAGGGTCCGCCACTTGTGTTTCTGCTTTTCTGGTTCCAAATAACATCAAAACCAGGACGAAGTAGATTGAATCTTTTACTAGGTTTAAAGTACACACCATTGCAAGTTTCATGCTTAAATTGGCCACTTTTTGAGTTGATTTGCTATTTTCAAAGTATTAACTGATATTTTGGCCATTAAGAAAGGCAGAACGCCCTTCGGTTCAACATAATGTGCAACGGGCTCCGAAATACATTAAACTTAACATGGTGTCTTCAACACACCCATGTAGGGTGTGTTAGAATTTTGAGACTGTTGCGTCAAAAACTTGATTCATTTCATGTACAAACTTAATTGTCTTATGCGAAGTATTAGAGTTTCGAACGAAAACCACCTACTACCACACACAACATAATTTTTCTAAATCATTTACACTTCAAGCTTTTTTTGTCTGTAACACATCCCATTACAAGTCCCATGCTCAAATTTGACCATGTTTTGAGTTGGTTTGCCATTTTCAAAGAATTGACTGATTATTTCAGCCACCAAAAAGGGCAAGACGCACTTCGGTTCAACATAGCGTGCAAACGAGCTTCGAAATGGATGAAACTTCGCATGATATCTTTATAGGACCCTTGTAGGGTATTTATAAAAAAAAATTGAGAGCGTTACGTCACAAAATTGATGCACTTCATGTACAAACTGAATACTCTCCAGTGAAGTGTCAAGGTTTCGAAAGGAAGTAACATAGCGCCACACACAACTGATTTCCACATCATTTCCACTCCAAACTTTTTATATGGTAATGCACACCATTGCAAGTATCATGCTTAAATTTGGTCACATTTTTTAGTTGGGTTGCTATTTTCGAAGCAAGGTATTTCGGCCAATCAAAAGGGAAAAACGCTTCAGTTCAACGGAACATGCAAAAGAGCTCCAAAATGGATAAACTTGACATGGTATCTTCAGAGGACCCCTGTAAGGTGTGCTCAAAAATTAGAGTGTCACGACAAAACTTGATGCAATTCGTGAACTTCCTATATGTGTGACGGGTGGAGGACACTGCCAACTGCTAACTTTTGGAAATTTAGGAAATATGTGTGCAGGTTAGCAAAATTTTGCTGTGTCGGGTAATCTTTTTGCCCGTCAACAGTGCACGACAAATTAGTGGCAGGCACTGATTTTTCGTCTGCGACTGCTGCTTTTATCCCACAACTAAATTTGTTAAATTTTAAAAGTGGCGGGTGCTCAAATCAGCCCGCCAGTGCTGTCCACATGGCAGTGGCCGACACCCGTTCTTACGCAACACTGCTACTTTACTAGAATTGCAGTGGTGGGTACCAGTACATGCCCACCACTAAATTGAGCCCATCAATAAGCCTTTTCCGAGTAGTGTACCTGGTCACATCCAGCCCAAATATATGCACTACGTACGAAGTTTGTCAATATATTCCAGGACCTCAACCGGAAGCTCAAGCGGTGTCCTGTGGTAGATGGAGATTGCAGTGAGGACCGCTTTGACCAGAACGCCACAACCAACAATGGAGATATGCTCCTTCATCCATGGAGTGAACCTGCCAATAGCTTTGTCTTTGAGGTGCTATAAGTAGACCACTTTTAAGGTGGGTGACCGAAAGAGACAAACCAAGATATTTCTTCAAGAAAGTAACTCTACATGTAGGGAAGACCTGAATGATGTCATCAAGGTCCACTCCCCCACACCACCAGATTGGCACCACACTACTTTTTTGACAAATGGTAATCGAATCGATGACCTCGCCAAAGGATTGCATGGTGGAAGCCAGAAACTGAATGTCATGATTGATTGGGAGTACAAAGATCGTCACATCATCCAGATAAACAGGAGGCACGGGTAGCAGGGATTCTACCACTAATCTGGTGCAACTTTCCTTGCATTGTGGCCTTGGGGAGGATGTGATGGAGCGGGTCAATGGCGAGAACAAAAGGCAACGGGGAGAGATGATCTCCTTTCCGCAACCTCTTGCCATGCTTGATCGAGTCTCCGGCCAACCCATTGAGCAATAGCCTAGATGTGGCCAAGGAGAGGAGTACTTAAACCCATTATATCAACCGACAAGGGAATCCATTGTGATGAAGCATGAACATGAGAAAATCCCATTTAACCGAGTCAAATGCCTATTTGATGTCAAGTTTGAAGAGCAAGGTTGGTGTCTTGTTGCGATGGAGTCGTCTGGCAAGATTCCTAAGATATAGGAAGTTATCATGAATACTTCTCTTTTCGATGAAAGCGCTCTGATCTGTGGAGATGAGATTATTCATGTGAGGGGCGCGGAGAGAGGCCAACATCTTAGCCATGATTTTTAGCAATGGCATGATGAGGCTTTTAGTTTGTAGTCGGCGATATCTTCAACGCCGTCTTTCTTAGGGACGAGAGCAATATTGGCGGAACTGAGCTAGTGAAAACTGTTCTCTTGCAAATTTACGAAACGGATAATGATCATGAGGATCACTGGCTTGACAATATCCCAATAGACATTAAAGAACACATCGTTGAACCCATCCAGCCCGGAAGCCTTGTCTTGCGGGAGGGCGAAAACACCGGCCTTTTCTTCCTCCTTAGTGAAAGCAGCCCCAAGCTCCCAAAGATCGCAAGTGGGTCGGAATGCAACCCAATTAAAGTCCTTTCGTCTGGGAGCTCCTTTCTTCATGACAATGGTGAATGCCTCTGTACGGTAACCTTCTTGTGTTCATGAATGGTAACCCACCCTAGGCTATGATTGAGACGGTGAATATTTTTCCCTTCTTCTAAGGTTGATGCAGTGATGGAAATATTGCCCTCTTTCAGATTGGTAATACTGAAGGCTTGCCTCATGTGAGCCCTTTCCAAAGTCGCCAAGCCAAGGACTTTTTGTTCTAGTCTTTTCGCGAGATCCCGCTCATCCAAAGAAAGCTCTGGGATTTTAGGTGTTGATGCGCCAAAATGACCATCTCTGCAAGTTCTTTTAGGATGCGTTTGGTTGCCCACAAAAGTTGAACCAGGCCCGCTGTATGCAGCATCTCTTCAGTGTTGGGATGTTTGGTTACATGCAAGTACTGTTGGGCCTGCATGACGCGGTTCTTAAAACACCTGTGGGCTTGGCTTGCTGGAATCGGCCGTTTCCAGCGAGCCAGGTCCAAGCTATGCGATGAAGCGTACGTGGGTGGCTCGCTGGGAATGTGTGAACACCTAATCCCGTTCTTATCCATCTGCCCATCGCCCCCTTCATCGTTCGATGGCCGTACCCTGTTGTCGCAGCCGCCGCGTTCACCCACCGCTCGCCCGCCGCGCCCTGCCGCACGCCTCCCCCATCGCGCGCCTCCCTCGCCGCCCGCCGCACCCTCTCGCGCTCGTCGCCCCCTGCCACGTGGCTCCCCCGCGCTCACTGGGTCCTGCCATCAGCCTCCCCCGCCGTGCTCGCCGCCCCCTGCCGCCCGCCTCACCATGCCGCTCGCCACCCACACGATAGCCGTAGCAGCCCGGCATGCTTGCTTGTCGCGCCGGGGCGTTCTCGCTGCAGTCGCGCGTGGCCGGCGCCTTCTTCGTGCTCGTGGCGTGCACCGTGGCGCTCGCCCACAAGATCTCGTTCAGCCTCGACCCGGGTTGTCTCGAGTTGTTCATGCTGGTATTGGCGTTCGTGGACGCGTTCGACACGGCGTCCATGCTCTCTCCGTGGCTGCAACCGCGCCATTGCAGTTCATATGGCCCCTGAAGCGGTTCC